AGGCAGAGCTTGCAGTGAGCTGCAGTGAGCCTAGATCGGGCCACTGCACTCCAGCCTGGGCTCTGTCTCAAAAATAAAAAATAAAAAAAGAATCTGCTATCTATATACTCCAGGAGATGACACTAAATAGCACTAAATAGCATCTCAGGAATCAAAGACTTTACCTTGGACTCTCCACCTCCAAGGACGTTCACCATGACCTCCATCACAGTCTCATGCATCCCCAGTGCCCTCATGAGATTAGGGTGCTGGTAAAACACCTTGTTATTCATAATATCCCTAGAAACGACAACGGACGTATGGGGTAAAGCTCAGAGCAACATTTAAATAGTTAACCAAGTTTCTCATAAATCTTTTAGAAATAATTTATGCAAGTTGAAAAGTAAAAGCAATCACAATATTTAATAAGCCACAAAAGTTAATGAATGTAATTGAGTTTTCCTAAAAAATACTGATAATTTACCAAAACTGGTTGACAAGTGTCTATTCTTTTTAATCATAATAAACATAGTAAATATGTAAACAGTTAAAATGAAATCTATTTTGGACACATAATTCCTAATTTTATGGATATCCAACCATGTATGTGTCCAACCTTCTTTTATATAAAAATATGAATTAGTGTTATACTATGTTTACATAAAAATTCTTCATATATAAGTATCTCTGCTTTTCATATATATGCTATTGTTAGTACTACATTCAGTATTTGTATATATAATTACAATAGTGTTATTTCTTTTTAAGTTCATATTATCATTCTGACAAATACTTAAAAGGATTTAAATTCTCCAAGAGAAACTGAGTATACACGAAGTCCAGGTACAAGTAATCTAACTCATTAAAATGGACATCCAGTTTCAAGAAACAGTATTAGTTGATACCTAAAATGCCTCATATTATCATTACTGCATTACATATTCTTGTAATATGTGTGTCCAGGTATTCCTAAGGGTCATAATGTTCAGGAGAAAGTATCATTCACTGCAAATAAAGAGCTCTGTTGATTTCTATTTTAACATAGATCAAATCAATGCCAAGAGTCTTTTCTATAAAACATTTTCTTGTCAGATCTACAGCAAGAATATAACATACAGCCTACAAGAAAACTGAAAC